TAGCTCGCTCACACCGAGGACCTATCCATGTGATCATTTACCCAGAATGCTTTGTGTGTAAATAAAATGGCTGCATCCATGTTAAAATATATTTTTAAAAATGTACTAAACATCCTACACTATTTTTACAGTGTTTATTTTACAGTTAAAATATATGTTTATCAAATAAAGTCTAATGTTACAACTAATCATGGATCCCTTTAAAGGGGAGGGATGTGTGGTACTCACGCCTGTGGTCCTTCGTGCTTCAAGATCTGGAAGGCGCAGTCCAGAGTGTTTTTGTAGCGATGGGCTTCTAAACCCTACAAAATAATTATTTTAAATACTTAGAATCTGCCTCTGAAACAAAATTCTTTACCTGGCACTCATACAAAGAGATTTAGTCAGTATTAGCTCCACATATACTACAGTCTTGGTCTTGAATATACTATAAAGAGTTACCTCTTTCTTTAAATCAGAAAACACATTTTATAACTAAAAGAAACAAGAGTTTTGCCATAACCCACTTTCTGGAATACCCCATCACAAGTTGTGATTCCTACCTGCATTCGGGTCTTAACCACATCTAGAGGCGTGTTTCCAAAAACACTGGCTGCTCCTGCTGTCGCTCCAAACATCGCTGTAACAATCGGGTGCATTTCTCTTCTGGAATCGTCACCTTTAAGGCAAAAAAAAAAGGTTGCACAAGGGAGGACGATCTTTAATCAGATCTGGATAATTTAATGAAATATAAAATTGTGTTTTATGTTCAGGTCTTCTCACCTTTGTACCAGTTCCTCAAAGAGGTCATAACGAAGAATCTTATGGCCTGATTGCTTCCTTGTTTCAGCACAGTCGCGGTCAGGCCTTGATACGTACCCCTCAACCCTAAACGAGTTCAAACGTTTGTGATCCCACAGATACGCAACGCTACTCATTACGCGGTTTTCCTGCTCTCTCACCCTGTTCTCTGACGATCTCACTGACTCCATGGAAGAAGCCTCTGTAGCGAGGCCGGAGCGAACACTGGTCATGGATCAGCTTCACCTGGGAGGCGTGAGGAGAACCGCGTTATATTCAGATTAGCAAGGAGAGGAGCGCGAAACAAACACGTACCTTCAGCGTCTCCATGGGGCAGACGATCAGCACGGCCTCGGCTATCCCAGCTCCTAAACCACACAGGAGACTCCGCGTGTTGTCTAGTCGACCTGTGTGATCCCGCATCGGGTTGCTGAGAATTTCAAACGTGCCAAACCTGGAAAAGGATTGATACATTTTAAAAAATAATAATAATCTAATATCTCTGATGTTTATAACCATAACAACTCTAAATAGGCAATCTGCATGAGTTTCACTGTTTGCAAAATGAAGATAAAGCTTCCGGCTCATATTATCAGTTTTGAATGAAAAATRAATATTAAATCAAATCGTGACCCCAAAAATAAGGATTGAATCGAACAGTTAGTAAAAGATTCCCACCCCTAGTTCAAAGCATAAAATTTCTAATTAGAAATAGTGAACAATCATATGTTTTGACTGTGTATTCCTTTCATTTGAAAACATGCCGAGTCACTGAATAGATTCTGTTTTGTCTGTTTGGGGTTCATCCTCATGCTGGAAACAAAAAAAAAAATAGTTTGTTGCCTTATGTTTTGTTTTTTGTTGCATTTTAAAGCAGCCAGATGTAAAAGCTACTCAGCCCCAGTMTGTGCATCTTCTTCACCTGACTGCAGATTTGGGAATTGACCCYTAGAGCAGAGAGCTGAGGCCTCGGTACAACCCTCTGAGTCCATGATCCTGCACGGTCAGCCTCACGCAGTCTCCTGTGCACAAAACAAACCCACACACACACACCGCCAGCAGGAGTGAGAATCCCAGCACAGACATAGACTCATCCTGGAGATCCTGGCAGGTGACCTACCAATGCCCCTGTATCTGGGCGGGTTGGCTCTCTCATCCAGCTGCAGCTGAGTCTTGACATACTCTGTGGGGAAGGTGATGCAGATCTCTATTGCTCCTGCGATGCCTCCTGGATGGGAAAGAATAAAATCCTGTCAGGGTTTGTTGACTCAGGCAGTGCTGTAAAACATGGCTATAAGAGTAAAGAGAAGCTACATCATTTAGCATCACTGCTGTCTGACCCAGTTCTGCATGACCAGCTTTAATGACTTATATTACTGTCATATGTGTAGCAGCATGCACACTTATTGGTGAAAACCTACACGCTGGTTGAATGTTAGAAAAACCAACCTGCTAGGATAGCTTTCCCAGGGTGGGTGATTTTCCTCCCTCCGGGGGCAGCGGCCGCCAGGTTCCTCCTCGCCGCCGACAGCCTCCGGTGCGCGGGCAGCTCCGCGGCCAGCAGACGCGGCGGGGCTGGAAGCTGCCGACGGATAGCCGAGCTCGGGGGATGTCTCCGGGCCGAGCGGCTCTCACAGGGTCCCTCGCAGACCGAAAAGGGCTTGAGCAGCGAGGACATGTTGAATGTCGGGGGACAGAAGTGGTGCTGATGGTGGCGCTCGTTTTCAGACAATGTGAGAGATGACAACAACACGGGAGGGCGGGGCACCAGCGTGGCGGCGGCGGCGGCGCTCGTGGTCACCTGATGGCGCAGGCCACTCGGTCACGTGACTTGGCGTGATTTTTCTCAGCCAATCACGTGAAGGATGCTGCTTGTGTGCCGAGGTAACAATGGCTCTCTGTTCGTGTGAATTCAGAAMCAGTATTCACACTGTTGTTTTACTGTTTTGTAGTTCAAAGAAAATGTTTTCACTAATTAACCTCATCTACTTAACCAGCTCACTCAGGAAGTGAGGGTTGTGAAACTTTCACTGATATATTGAACTGGGCTGGTTAATTAATTAATTAATTAATTAATTAATTAATTAATTAATTAATTAATTAATTAATTAATTAATTAATTAATTAATTAATTAATTAATTAATTAATTAATTAATTAATTAATTAATTAATTAATTAATTAATTAATTAATTAAATCCACCTGGAATTTGTCTTTTTCAAAAAAAAACTCAACCTTTTTCATGTTCTATGAACAATACATTTAATCAAGGCACTAACGATCTATAGTTTGGCTGATGGTCCTCTTCTGCATGTGACCAACCTGATTGTCCACCATGTGGAGGCAATGTTAAGGCTGAGTTCACCTGAAACTCCTCAAGAAGTCTCTTTGGAGGAGGAGAACCTGTCTAAAGGACCTATTATTATTTTTTTCTTTTTTATTTTTCTACTGAGATGCATCAAGATATGACTTATATAGTTAACCACATAATAAACTTAACTCATATTGTATATTGAATTGTTTGAGCCAAAGTGGACTTAATGGGAGACGACCAAAAGCCTGACTGGAATTTGCCAGACTAGCCTGACAAGCCACAAAGCTTCTGGGAGAGTGTCCAGATGAGACAAAAATTGAACTTTTTGGCAACGCACATCAGCTCTACGTTCACAGACGGAAAAATGAAGCATATCAGGAAAAGACCACTGTCCCTACTGTGAAACATGGAGGAGGCTTAGTTATGTTCTGGGGCTGCTTTGCTGCACCTGGAACAGGTTGTCTTGAATAGTGGTACAATGAAATCTCAAGACTATCAAGGGATTCTAGAGATAAATGTGCTGCCCAGTGTCAGAAAGCTTGGTCTCAGTCTCAGGTCATGGGTCTTGCAATAGAATAATGACCTAAAACACAACTAAAACASCCAATAATGGCTAAGAGAAAAACATTGAACTGTTCTGAAGTGGCCTTCTATGATCCTGACCTTATTCCTATTGAGCATCGTTGGAAGGAGCTGAAACTTGCCTTCCAGAAAAGGCAACCTTCAAACCTGAGACAACAGAAGCAGTTTGCTCATGAGGAATGGTCAAAATACCTGCTGAGAGGTGCAGAAGTCACYCTGACAGGTCCAGGAATCGTTTGATTGCAGTGATTGCCTCAAATGGTTGTGCAACAAAATATTAAGTTAAGGGTACCATCATTTCTGTCCAGGCCTGTTTCATTAGTTGTTTTTTTTATTCTGTTGAAGCATGGTTGAAAAGCAATGTCTGACTTTCACGTATTCATTTTCATAGAATTTTGTTGTCTGATTCAAGTTATTTCTGTGAGTTTTTCTTTCATTAAACGAGGGATACCAACATTTTTGTCCACGTGTATACAGTATAAACACCACTTAACTAACTTCAGCAGCAATGGGCTAAATCCGCAATTCATATGGTTTTTGTGTAATCAGTCTTGGTCCATCATATCTCCTGTTATTTACTTTAATAACAAAGTTTAATTTTAGTTTGAGTGCCTTGTGTTTGCATGGACCCTTTGTTAAGAGTGAGGTGGGTCAAGGTTCTGCTTGTGTGTCGTTAGTTTCAAGAAGCTATCAACCTGATAACATTTTAGGAAAATTCAGCTTAAGGTCCATGGTAAAGTGGTAATGAAAACATTACAAAACTGATAACACTGGCTGAAATTTGTAACTTTATTTTGAAGGAGGGATAGCTCAAAATACAAAAAAAACAAAAAACAACATGCAACACAATAATCACTATTGTAATTGGGCTTAAATATACAAGTGAGTCTGATGAACTGAAATTTGTAACTTTATTTTGAAGGAGGGATAGCTCAAAATACCCCCCAAAAAAAAAACAACATGCAACACAATAATCACTATTGTAATTGGGCTTAAATATACAAGTGAGTCTGATGAACTGAAATTTGTAACTTTATTTTGAAGGAGGGATAGCTCAAAATACCCCCCAAAAAAAAAACAACATGCAACACAATAATCACTATTGTAATTGGGCTTAAATATACAAGTGAGTCTGATGAACTGAAATTTGTAACTTTATTTTGAAGGAGGGATAGCTCAAAATACCCCCCAAATAAAACAAATAAAAAAATAAATAGATAAAAATACAAATAAATAAAAATAATAATGATAATTAAAAAAACATGCAAAACAATCATCACTGTTGTAATTGGACTTAAATATACAAGTGAGTGTGACGAAGTG